AATGTCGAGACTTTTAGAGCCACAAAAGAATTCAGCTCTTAAAGATCAACAGAGATCGGGGTCGGCTCATCGGCATGCTGCTCTCCACGCGCTCTAGATCCGCCGCCGCGCTGCGGGCGAGAATACGACAGTCCACACGCACATCGTGCTCTCGATCAGAGTGAGAGAGAGAGAGAGAGAGAGAGAGAGAGAGAGAGAGAGAGAGAGAGAGAGAGAGAGTATTTATTCCTCATCATCGGCGGTGGCATCCTGGTACTGCTGGTACTCACGCTGACATATCCTTTGGGAATGCCCATGGGCTCTAGGGACCTGGGGGCAGCTTTGCCCGCGGGTGCCATGCTAGGCTATGGTAGCCATTCTCCCAGATTCTCCGGAGAGGCCGGAAAAGTGGCCAAGGCGGCCTCCGCTCAAGGATCGTTGGGATTTTCCGGTGACTCAGGAAGGAGGGGTCTGCGCCAAATAAAAATCGGTTCCGTGCTGTCCGCCCCCGGATACGCCTGGCACAATTTATTAGAAGTCGGGGCTTCATCTTCCGCCCGAGAGAAAAATCCCTCTTGCCTCTCAGCCCACTATGCGCCATAGCCGCCGAGACGGCGCGCTCTGCTGACTCTCATCTAGCACCCTCTTGGGGCCTCTCCTGACCGCTGTGGGCCTCTCCAGACCTCCTCTTGCCTATGGGAGTACCCCTCTCAGTCTACTTCCTAGGACACAGGCACAGGTTTGCATAATGGGAGCTCTTTCTCAAGGGCTATGGTGCAGAGAAGAAATGCGGATTTGGCACCGGGGTGTACTGTCAATGATACTGCTCACTGCCGCGGCCCTCGTGCCGCACGGGTTCGTCTTTGCGCGCGCTGCGCCCGCCCGGGCGCTGCGGCGCTGCGGCGGCAAGCTGCCCCGCGCGGCTGCGCGCCTCTCGGGCGGCGCCGCTGCACCGGCTGCTGCGGCGACGACGCGAGTGGTGGATGACATCGTGAGTGCGGCGCTCGACCGGCGCTCGTATCGGTGGGTCGAGCTCGACTCGGGCCTGCGCGCGCTGCTCATCTCGGACGCCAACTCGGACAAGGCGGCAGCGGCGCTCGAGGTGAAGACGGGACACTTTGACGACCCAGCGGACGTGGCCGGGCTGGCGCACTTCACGGAGCACATGATGTTCCTCGGGACGGAAAGCTTCCCCGCCCCCCCGACCGAGTGCGTGATCTCGGGGGTCCAGCCGGGTCGTTCCGTTTTTGAGCAGGTGTGGCGTTGCCCGACTCTCGCCAGGGGGTGTTGTGTGTGTGGTTGCTGGTGGCCCTCAGACGGCTCCAGACGGGGACCGTGGATGGTATGCTCTCGAGGTTCTTGAGGTGGATATCCTTTGCCCCGTTGGGTATCGAGGATTGGTGTAACCCGACCCTCGGAGGCGTGTTTTCTTACGCCCGACCGTCAGTTCACGGAGTTAACCGGGTCCGAATATCGCGAGGTAGGG